GAAGAGTGGAGTTAAAGAAAATATGAGCTAGTAAATAGAACACAACCTACCTCGTCACTTAGATGAATTACCTGTTTCTTCCTCTCTGAAATAGTCCCTGAAGTGTTCCAAAAACTTATTGAGCACCTACTATCAGGAGAGTGGTTAGGGTGGGTGTCATTAAGAAAGCGATACTTGAGTCAAGACTTGAAGGAGGTGAGCGCATTATTTATAGGAAACTGACCACCTACCCACCCTTATTTTTTTTTTTTTCACATCCAAGATCAGAACCAAATCTGAGGCTCAGTCCTCTAGAGGCCCCTCTAGAGGCAAATGCGTGGTCTTTTGTCCCTTGGAGAGGCAGGACAAGGCAGTGGTTAAGGACACGGGTTCCAACACCAAACTGGATGTAAATACTGGCTCTACCATTGGCTGCTTACATGACCTTGGGCATCATGTTTAATCTCTCTGAGCCTCCATTCCCTGAACCTCAAAAGGAAGATAATAATAGCACCTGCCTTACAGGGCTCTTCTACGGGTCATATGAAATGATGTCCATACATTCCTTTGCACCCAGGGACTCAGTAAAAATCAGCTGTACTCATTAAGCCTTGGTCTTATCTCTCCAAGTTTATTTACATTTTCCTTGGTCCTGGTTCTCTATCCTTGTTGACACTGTAACACTGTTTTATGGTTTCTGCTCCTGTGGCAAACTACCTCAAATCCTTTGTGGCTTGGGGTGGGTTATAAGTAAGTAAGTAAATAAATAAAAATCTAGAGAGAGGAACATCTTCACAAAAATAAAACATTTTATTAATTGTGAGGACAAAAGCAAAAGACATGGACCCTCTTTTCTAACCATCCATCAGAAACCACCAGCAAGACACTCTCTGGTGACCAGGTCATCTTTCTCTTTCCCAAACCCCTCTTCCTCCTTCTATCAGGAGAGAGTAAATGAGTCACACAAAATGACCCCATAAGCCTAAAGCCTCCCAACCTCACCACTATTTCATTGCCACAGTTCTCAGAGAACGCTCCTTCTTCCCGGAGCAGAGGAGAGAAAGGAACTGGATGGGGGTTGCCTTCCATGGTGATGGGATTAGGGGGAAGGGTGCTGGTGCAGAATCGTTACTTCCATTAACTACTGAGTGCTGTGGCCATGGGGAAGTCCCTGGGCCTCTCTGGACCCCAGTTTCCATGTCAGTAATAATAGTACCTCCCCCCAAGGTGCCTGTGCAGATGAAAGAGAATGAAGGAAACCAGCATGGATAGCATATTGGTAAAGCCCTCAATACATGCTAGACTTTCCTTCCTTGCCTGCACCCCAGGGCAGCACTCAACAGACTATGGGAATGGGACACTTCAATGAGAGGGTGGGCAGGGCAGGCGCTGCGAAGACTAGTTTAAGTATAGCCCTATATGCTAGGAACTCCCTACAAGAAGGGGAAAGATCTTTTTTGAGCTCCTCCTACCTCCTAGGGAGATCATTACGCTTCTTCCTGCCCATAATCCTTGGAGATGAGCATTGTTATCCATATCTGACAGCTGGAACTGGCCTTGAACCTAGAGCACATAGCTAGGAATGCTGGAGAGGCAGCTCTGGCCTTCTGAAGTTGCCTTTATGAAGGGCAAGCACCAGCCTCCAGTACAGGACATCACAGCCACCGCTGATAGAGACCTGTGAGGCTCAGGCCAAATGCAGTGACCTCACTGAGGCTTCCGAAGCCCCTCCTCTCCCCTCCATCAGCCCCCAGGGCCTTCCCGGCTCTATAAGCTTTGGTATCCTCTGGGTCTGAATTTGAAACACACAACACCCCTCACATATCAACTAGAGGACCTTGGTAAGTCACGTATTCTTTCTTGTTCCACTTCTGAAAATGAAAACATTCAATGCCTACCTCCCAAGGTTGCCATGAAGATTAAATAAAGCGCTACCATGAAAACGCCTAAAACGATGTAAGCCCTCGTTTATGGTAGCTGCTATTGTTACACTGAAGCCATCAGCCTTATGCTGGCCGAGCGACAGAGATGATGCTCTCCAGGGGAGAACGTGTCATGGAGCACTTGCTGACATGTCTGCCCACACTTCCATACAGGCTGAAGGAGCATCGTGGCCTGGTTATCAGACATTGGGTCCTTCTCCTCACCTCGCAGGAAACTACTACTTGGGAATAACAAGATTTACCTGTACTCTGTGCCCCTCCTTAAAAAAATAAATAAATAAATAAATAAATAAATAAATAAATAAATAAATAAAAATTTAAAAAATCAAGGCCCAGGCCAGGGCCTCCCATTCACTGGCTTTGATCCACAAGCAGGTACTGCTGGTTCTTCCTCTGCTGGGAATCAGGGAGAGGGAAGACGCAACCCTATCCCAGGAGTCCACAGAGCACTTGGGGGAAAGGGCGAGGAATTGCTGTTACAGCAAACAAAAAGGCACGAGGCCGAGTGTCCCTGGGAAGATGAGGAAGGCTCCGTAGAGAAGGAGGTATTTGAACTGGGCCTTAAACATTAGGTGACACATGGTGAGGGGCGTGGGGAGGAGGCATTCCAGCTGAAAGCACAGCATGAACAAAGGTTAGACATGTAGGGTTTGTTTAGAGAACAGAGTGGACTGCTGAGGCAGGAGGACTGAGAGGCCAGAGCACGGAGTGGAGAGCTGGTAGGGAAGGGCCAATGAGCCTGAGGGGTAAGGAACCCAAATTAAAAATCATGATTGCAATGGAGAAAATGCAGTGGGGAGGGGGGGGGGGCTGAAATTTAAAATAGGATGGTCTTAGACAGCCTCTTTGAAGTGACATATTTAAGACATGACAGAGCAAGCCATGTGACTACCTGGGGTAAGTTTTCAGGCAGAGAAAATAGCAGTACAAAGGTCCTGAGGCCACAAAGTGGTTTCCATGTTGGTGATGCATTAAAAAGGCCAGTGTGCCCAACCAGCGTGGCTCAGTGGTTGAGCATAGACCTAAGAACCAAGAGGTCACGGTTCGATTCCCAGTCAGGGCACATGCCTGGGTTGTGGTTAGATCCCCAATGTGGGACTTGCAGGAGGCAGCTGATCAATGATTATCTCTTGTCACTGATATTTCTCTCTCCCTCTCCCTTTCTCTCTCTGAAATAAAAACATTAAAAAAAAAAAAAAAAAAAAAGGCCGGTATGACAACTGTTAAGAAGATTAGAAAGTTAAAAGGAAGCCTAGCAGGCTATTATAGGGGCTCAAGCTTTCACTTGTAGGAGTTCTAGTAAAGAAGCAATGTGATCTGACTTATGTGGGGTTTTTTAAGTATATTTTATTGATTTTTTACAGAGAGGAAAGGAGAGCGATAGAGAATTAGAAACATCAATGAGAGAGAATCATTGATCAGCTACCTCTTGCACACCTCCTACTGGGAGTGTGCCCACAACCCAGGTACATGCCCTTGACCGGAATCGAACCCGGGACCTTTCAGTCCGCAGGCTGACACTCTATCCACTGAGCCAAACCGGTTTTGGCTGATCTGACTTATGTTTTAAAAGGATGGCTCTGATTGCTGTCTAGAGAATCAATTGCAAAGGGCCAAGGGTGGAAGTAGAGAAACCAGTAAGAAGGCTATTGTGGACAACCGGGTGAAAGAGGATGGTGGCTGGAGGTTTCCTTGTGTAAAAATGGAGCTTAGAATCCCCAAATTGTGCAGCCCAACGCTTAAAATCCTGTATAATAAAAGCCTAATATGCTGTGTCCGACCAGTCACTATGATGCACTCTGACCACAAGGGGGCAGATGCTCAACCTATAGGTTAGCTTGCTGCTGGGGCCCCATGATCAGGACTGGATGAGATAGGCAATATATGCCCTGGAGCCCTCTCCCTGTCCCTCCCTGTCCCCAATCGTGCACCAGTGGGGTCCCTTAGCCTGGCCTGTGCCTTCTCACAATCTGGGACCCCTTGGGGGATGTCAGAAAGCCTGCAGATGGCCAATCTCCGCAGGCCAGACTGAGGGACCCCACCAGTACATGAATCCATGCACCAGGTCTCTAGTAAACAATAAAAAAACATTGGCCCTACACGGTTTGACTCCGTGGATAGGACATCAGCCTGCTAAGAGTCCCCGGGTTCTATTCAGGTCAAAGGCACATACTTTGGTTGCAGGTTCCCTGGCCCAGGTTCAGAGTGCGTGCAGAAGGCAACCAATCAATGTGCCTCTCTCACATTGATGTTTCTCTCTGTCTCACCCTCTCGTTTTCACTCTTTCTAAAAATCATTGGAAAAATATCGTCGGGTGAGGATTAACAAATAAATGAATATAAAAATAAAAAACATTGGAACCTCCGCCCAACGGGGTGCCAGCCTAAAAGTTGTGGGATTGTGGGCCGCTCCTTGCCAGCCCCTGGTGCCCAGGAGAAAGTCAAGACAGGTGTGCGTCGCGCAATGCGTCAGGAGGGCTAGAGCTGGAAGAGGGGTGTCCTGCTCCCCAGACAGAGACTGAACAGGGAAGGGTGGGAAGGAGGGTGCCACCCCCCAGCCCTGGAGCGCGTCCTGGGCACTCGGCACTGTGTGCGCTCCGGTCTGCAACCTCTCCGCCTGTGCAAGTGCGGGCATCCCCTGAGCATCCGGCGGGGAGCCCACAGCCCCCTCCCCACTGGGCTCTGACCCCTTTGTCTCATTTCCCCCCCACTCCCATCCGTCTGCCTGTTGGTTCCCCACAGGTTTCGGCGCACACGACCCGCCGGGATCCCTGTGGAGGTCGCCTTAGCGGCGCCGCCCAGGCCTGGGGCTGCGGAGAGGAGGAAAATCATGAATGAAATGGATGCGGTGCTCCGGTCTCCCCGCCCTCCCAGCCCAGGCAGCCTCAGCGCGGAGGCGGTGCCAGCGGGGACTCCGAGCCCAGCCGGGAAGAGAGGCGGCCCGAAGACGTGGATCAGGGACTAAGGGTCTGCGACCCGGCCCCGCGCCGGCCCAGGGCGCTGCCGGGCAACCCCCCTCCCCACCCCCCGCCGCTGGCCCCGCGCCATTCCGGGAGCCACGCCAGCCCGCCCGGAGGCGGGGCGGGGCCGGGCCGGGCCGGGCCGGGGGGTGCCGAGCCCACCCGGCGGCTGCGCCCGCGTCTCAGCAGCCGAGGCGCACGGTGGGGCGGCCCGGCCGAGGAGCGCGCACGGAGAGCGGGACGGAGCGCCGGGCGGGCGCACAGAAGGACGGACGGCCGCCCCCGCACACGCAGACGCACACAGCTCGGCGCCGCTCCCGGCACACACACGCGCGCACACACTCGCAGGGACACGGGCAGACACACGCACCCCCGAGCGCGAACCTCCTCCCGCCCTCCGGCCCGCCCGCCCGCGCCCGGAGCCCGGGGCCCGGAGCCCGGAGCCCGCTCTGGCCGGTAAGTGTGGCGTTTCCGTCGGCGCCTTTGTGTGCGGAGCCGGGAGGATGGGGGCGCGCGGTCCTCCCCGGAGCGGCCTCGCCACGGACACCGCCTCCAGCACCCCGGGGACCCAAGCTGGCGCCCGCCCCCGCCACGCCCCCACGGGGCTCCCGGCGCCCCCGGACCAGGGGTGGGGTCCCCACCCAGGGGAGGAGGCCGGGCGCTGGGGAGTAGGGAAGGAGCGGCAACCATTCCCCACGGAGCTCGGACCCAGTTCCGGGGAGGAGGGATCGGGATAGGTGGGGGTCTGGGTCCGAGCCCCTGCGGCCGAGGCTGGTGCGCGGCTCTGGGCTGCGTCGCCTCTCCGGGGCTGCAGCTCCGGGGGGAGACCAGACGCCGCCGCCAGCCTGTTTGCTTGTCAACTGCGGCTGCTTCGCCTCGCTTCGCGACCCTGAACCCCTACAGCTTAACCCACCCTCACTCCCCACCCACCACCCAAATAACAGCCCAGTGCGTTCCCCACCCCCAGCATGCCCCTTTTTTCTGCAGAGCCTGCAGATGGCCTGGGTCTGAGCTCTGAGGGGCTACCTCACCAAGGATCGTGTCAGGACCAGTTGAACCTTTGGAGTTCATTTAACCCCCTCCTTTTACAGATGGGGAAACTGAGGCCCGGTGAGATGGCTTGACCAAGGTCACCAGAGAGTTAGCCGCAAAGCCTGCATTAGAATCTAGGGTCCCTGGCTTTCATACTCATCCCCATCCCCCCATACAATTCGCTCCTATTCCCATTGAAGACCCAGAATCCCAAAATTCATCTTAGTGTATCAGGAAAGTCTTTGTAATTCCTCCCTCGCCCCCACTTGGAGCGTCATGTGCCATTCATTTGCTACCATTCTTACTGAAAAAAAAAATAAAAAAATAAAGGTTAGCCTTTAATTTGCCTCCTTGGCCCAGAGGAGAGAGAGCTTTCTTATGCAAGCACTCCAAGGTTGGGATTTAGTTTGGGAGAATGAATCAGTCCTGAAACGGAAGTCAGATACCAGGGTGTTCATCCTGGCTCTCCCAAGCATCCCTGAGCCTGTGTCCTCGATTGGACCAGGTGATGTAGCATCCAAGGAGCCATCCCCTCCCCCCACTTTGACCTGCCTGCGTGCCTCCCCAGTCACTCTTCCCTCCTTTGTAAAGGCTGGGTCTTTAATCCCACCAGCCTCTTTCATGGTCTCTTTGTGGAGGTCCCCAGTTCTTTATGTGGGGCCACCTCTTCCTTCCTGATGCGTGTTGGGTATTGCTGACAGAGCTGCTGAGGAAGCTTGAGTTACAGGCTCTGATGGCAGCTCAAGGGCAGCTGGGTGTCCCCAGAGCTGGCACAGAGAGGGTGCCACGGGAGGTACGGTGCAGGAGTGCAAGCTAGATGGTGACTGGCTAAAGTCAGTCAGTCACCTTTGAGGAGACTGCATTGCACGGGATGGTTGGCACGGAGAGCAGTAATCAGTGTCTCGGGGCCTGAGGCGCTAGTCTCAAGCGCTTCCTTCTTGCGTGGGATGAGCAGCCTGGCATGGAGCAGAGCCAGGGTGACCAGGTGATGTGACGCCAGGATCCACCATTCATACTGCAGTCCCCCCTAATTGGCTGTGTGCTCTGGAAGGACCCTTTGCACAGACTTCGTAAGGAGTAGGGGCCCTTGGGTTTTTGCAGGGCAGTAGCTCCCACCCTGAGAGAGAAAAGATCGGGGTTCCAGGCCCAATGTTCCTTACTGGCCGGACAGTTTTGGTTAATGCTCATAGCCTTTCTGGGTCTCAGTTCCTCCATCCGAAAAATAAGATAATTGGATTGAAGAGGTTCTGGATATCTTTCTGGTCTGAGCTGTTGAGGGTTGGGGACACTTATTGATTTAACAGCTATGGGCTGATTGAATATGTGTGCTGGAGGGAGGGAGGAATGAAAAGGGATGGCTTTGATCTTGAGAGATCTTGGTTGTCCTCGTCTATTACTCTGCGAGAAAATAAGAAGAGATGAGACCATGTATGTAGGGTACTTAGCAGGGGGTATAAAATAAGCTCAGGAATTGGTAGCTTTAGGGCCTCAGCTTTATGGTTATACCCTCCACTTCGTTTTTTTCAGATTGCCTAAGGATGAGAGGTTTTAGGGCTTCAAAGTCCCTCTTCCTCAAAACCTTCTCCCCACTGACCTTTTCCTAGATTTAGGGCTCATGCAACCTCCTGGGAGAAGTTGCACTTTTTGTTTACCAGGTATTTCACACCTAAGTGTGATTAATTTATTAATTTATATAATGTCAAAGCTCTTCTTACACCCTGTCACTTATAACTTAATCCTCATAGCATGTACTTGAGATCAGTAGTGTTACTGTTGCCATTTTATAGATGGAGAAGTTCAGACTCGGTTCAACTTGTCTACAGGGGTGTCCTGTGAAAGCCTCCAAGCCAGAGAGGTATCTGACTCCAGATTCTGAACTTTTTCTCCTCTGTCATTTTGCCTGTCCTTTTCCAAAACCTGCCCTAAAAAAAGAGATTGGAAAAAGTTGAGAGGATGGAGGGGTTTTGTTCTTCCAGGAGATCAGGAATGGCTTTCTGGAGATGCCAGGTAGCGTTTGAGTTGGGTCTAAATGATTTGTACAGTAGAAGAAAGGATTGGAAACTATTGCAAGTAGTGGAAACAGCATGAGCAGAGAGTAGGCCTTGGGGGGGCGGGGGGCCGAGTTCTAGGCCAGTGGTTGGCAAACTCATTAGTCAACAGAGCCAAATATCAACAGTACAATTGAAATTTCTTTTGAGAGCCAAATTTTTTAAACTTAAACTATATAGGTAAGTACATTGTTATTTACTCAATTAGGGTTCTCCTAAGCTGGCCTAAGAGCCATACTCAAGGAGCCAAAGAGCCGCATGTGGCTCACGAGCCACAGTTTGCCTACCACGGAAGCTAGGGCTTGTGTAGATACTGGAAAACGGTTCATTCCAACTGGTGCAAAAAGGTTAAAAGAGGAGCAGTGAGAAGGAAGTCCAGGTAGGAGGGTGGAGACAGTGGCTGTGGGCATTGAGTGCTGAGCTAAGGGATTGGTCTTTAGTTTTTTAGTATGGCAGAGACGTGATCAAACCTAACCATTAGGAAGCTCACCCTGACTGCCCGGTGGAGAACAGATTGGAGGGCGAAAACCTGCTGGCAGGGAGGCAGGTAGGAAACAATGGGTGGTCCAGATGAGAGACAAGGAGGGTCTGGACTGGGGGTGGTTGTAAGAATGAAGAGAAATAGGAGCTGCAGTGGCAGCTGGTTGGATATGTTTGCTAGAGGGAGGGAGGAATGAGCAATGGCGACCAGGCTTCGATCTGGACTGGCTAAGGATGCCATTCACAGAAAGAGTCCAACGGGGAAGAGTGGAGAGGCTTAGGAGTGGAGACCATGGATCTGATAGAGAACCATAAAGAATCCTCCTACAAGGCTGGCTCACGGAGCATCCCAAACTGTTAAGGGCTGGCTCGTTCATTCCCTCTTCCATTCTCCAAATGCATTTAAACATCTGTCACATACCAGGCTGTCCTAGGCTCTCGGGACACATCGCTGAAAAAGGTGAACTTCCTGCCCAAACTCTACCAAGGTAGATGGAAAATGAAATATAAGCAAAGATATATAACATTTAAGGGGTGAGCAGTGCTCTGAAGACAATTATGCAGGGTGAGGAGTGACTGGGGGACAAGAGTAGAGAAAGAGATGTGCCTTTAAATAGAATTGTCTCTAAGAAGGTGATATTTGGCCCTAGCTGGTTTGGCTCAGTGGATGGAGAGTGAGCCTGCGGACTGAAGGATCCTACGTTCAATTCCAGTCTAGAGCACGGCCTGGGTTGTAGGCTTGATCCCCAGTAGGGGACGTGCAGGAAGCAGCCAGTCAATGATTCTCTCTTACATTGATGTTTCTATCTCTCTTTCCCTCAACCTCTTCTCTGGAACCATAAAGATATGTTTAATAAATAAATAAATAAATAAATAAGAATATGGCGATATTTGGACAAAGATCTGAATGAAGTGAGGAGGAGACCTGGGAGAAGAAAGGCATTCTAGGAAGAGGAGACCACAGAAGTGGTGGTCTTTACCACTCCCCTGCGGCAGGCAGCCCCTGGTACTCCCATGTCCCGGAGGAAGACACAGGCTCAGAGGTCAGACCCTGGCCTGGGGCTGTGAGAGGAGAAGGTAGCAGAGCATAAGATTTCAGCCAGTTCTCTCTGCCTCCACAGCCATCTTTTTCCTGAGGATCATGGTTGCCTTAGGGTGCATGACCTCAGAATTGTCAGCCCGTCGTGTTTCGAGGGCTTCTGCCCTGGATTAAAGACCGCTGTTATCAGCCCACCCTGGGCCCTGGTTTCCAACTGTCCATTGGCACAGGGCAGTGAGAGAATCAGCCACCCTCGGCCCAGGCTCTGTCCTGTCTTCTCCATCAGGCACCTGAGCAGGACCAGAGAGACCACTCACCTGCTCTCATGCCAGTCCACAGCCCTTCTAAGTGCCTATTAGCTCCTATAAAAACTGGAGTAATGATGTCATCTTCACACAAGAGTCTAATGAAATAGATTGGGAAATATTTGGCACATAGTAGGTGTGCAGCTGAGATTTATTCAATCTGAATTCTTTGACTCCTGCTCCCATCTGGCTTTTTTTTTTTTTCTTTCCCATTCCATTTGACTTCCTGGCTCATACTCCTCTCCCGACAAAGGAGCTGCAGACCAGCTAATGCAGCCTCTGTGAATCAGTTATCCTGATTCTTCCACCAAACCCTAAAGTGCCAGGATCTTCCCAGTTTAGCTGAGCTCAAGCACAGAAGGGTTAGATCAGAGACTGAGGGAGGGGCCCTGACAAAGGACTGGAACTTGCAGTGGGGTATGGCTGGAGCTAGGGGCCTCTCTAGCTGCAGGTGGGGGCAAACCTAGCTCTGAACTCCAGCTTTCCCTCTGTGCATGCTACAAGCTCCATGAGATGTGGTTTTGCAAGCAGTGAAGCTCACAGCCGATGTCA